AGTCAGTTGAGCATCCGACTCTTGATTTGGCTCAGGTCATGATCTCAGGGTCCTAGGATTGAACTCAGTGTGGAGACTGCTTGGGATTCTCTCTCCCTCTGCCCACTCCCCTGTTCACGTTTTCTCTCTAAAATAGCAATTAAAAAAAAGGGTCCCTTGTGTGTTGACTCATAGATTGTGTGTGTGGGGGAGGGAGGGGCGGACAGGTATAAGGGCAATCTCTGTACCTTCTGCTCAATTTTGCTGTGAAACTAATACTGCTCCAAAAATAGTCGATTAATAATAATAAAACATGGTTACTTTCATGGATTACATTAGTGAAGACACAGATATACACAAACTAAAAGTGTTAAAATACACAGTACTTTATGTAGTGCTAAGTACTCTATAGAGAAGCAAAATTCAGAACAGAGGATAAGGAATTTGAGTGTGTGTGTGGGGGGTTAGTTTTAATGACCAGTGAGCGAAGGTCTGTCTGGATGAGGTGAGGGAGTGAGCCATGTACTTCCTTGCAGGAAGGGAAATACAGACAGAGGGAACAGAATCCCCGAGGAGCAATGAAGAGATGAGTATTGCATAGAGAAGATGAGTGGAGAGGTGTTGAGAAATCAGTGTTTCAGGGAACAGGTCACACAGGGTCCTGTCAGGGAGGTGGACAGAGTGTGGGGGTCATCTGGTTCCTGTAGCATCTAGCGCTTCTGGGTTCCTTGAGCTCAACAGGTTATCAGAAGAATAGACAATCGTAGGGGTCACTGGTTCTCTAGCATCTGGACTGATATTTCCGTGAGACAATAGATTTGGGATGAGGGCATCCAGTGACAGACAATGAGACAGAGTCTCCAGGAGTCCCAGCTTTGAGTCCCAGCATGGCACTGACCTTTAACACGTGTGTTTGCTCCTTCAGGGCTCAGAAGTTTCAAGTGTAGTTGGAGATGACTAAAGTCCCTCTCTCACAAGGCTACTGAGGATTCAATTAGGTCATGTCTGAAATGGAGGACTTAACATATCATGAGGCTTCAAGGAACGCACTGAATCTCTCACACAGTATATCGATGTCATTCTCCCATGCACATGGTGCTTTCAACATGGTCCTCACCTCCAGGTGTTAACACCTTTGTGTACTTCCCATCCAACATGGTACCCGACTTGGTCAGCTTACAGAAAATACCATGAGATGTCACTTCTGAGCTTATGGAAGTCTCTGTGCCTTCTGTCTTGGACACTTTCTGTCTTTTGGATCACTTGTTCCAGGGGAAGCCATATGGAACATCCCTACAGCAAGGCCCTCTTGGCAAGGATCTGAGGTCTCCAGAGGAAAGTCAGTGAGGAGCTGAGGCCTTTAGCCAACAGCTTTGTGAACGAGTCCTCTTGGAAGTGGATCAATCCTCCAGGCTCAGTGAAGTCTTAGATGACTGCATTCCTTGTTGACAGCTTGATTACAACCTCACGAGACCCCGGACTGAACTCCACTATGCATTTTTAACCATTTTATTGAGATAGAGTTGACGTATACTAAACTACGTATTTAAAGTGTGCAATCTCAGTAAATTTTGATATACGTATACTGACACGCGCATGAAATTATCTCCGCAATCAACACAATGCATATATCTATTTATCCTCCGTTTCCTCGGATCCCTTTCAAAGTCATCCACCTGATGTCCTCAGGTCATTGTGGCCTTGACTCCATACTTGTTAAGCACAATAAGACAAGATAAAGAAATAAAGAACAGAAAAAAGGAAAAGATGAATATAGGCCAAGTTCACTTATGAAAATAGTTTCAAAAGTCCTTAAAATACGTTGACTGAACCCAACATTGCTATTTTAAATAAATACATCAAGAGTAAGTATGTTTTATCTCAAAGGATAGGATATTTATCAGAGCTTATCAGACTGTACAGGTTAAATATGTGAAGTCTATTATATGCCAACTATATCTCAATAAAGCTGTTAAAAGTAAAAATCTTAGGAGCCAACTTGATTATTTATATTTATAGGACTCTACACCCAACAATGGCAGAAATTAAGTATTCTTTCCAGTACATATGGAACATTCATCCGGATAGAGCATATGCTGGGCCCCAAACCAAGTCTGAAAAAATTTTAAATGATTTAAATCATACAAAATATGTTCTCTGAACATAGGAGTTAAGATAGAAATGTGTAACAAAAATAACTGTAACATCTCTCCTCCAGTGTCTGAGATTAAACACATTTCTGAATCAAACATGGGACAAAGAAGAAATCAAATGGTATTCGGTCAACTGGATATCCTTACAGGAAAAAAAATGAACTTCAACCTTTATCTTGAACCACATGCAAAAAATGAGCTACGGGTAGATTTCAGACATAAATATAAAGCCTAACTCTAAAACTTCTGGAAGAAAACATCAGAGAAAATCTTTGAGATCTTGGGTCAGACAAAGGTGTCAACAGCACAGAGTATAAAAGTAAAAATCGAACTGGGGTTTACAAAGATGAAAAAGTTTGCTCTTCAAAAGACTGCGTTGAGAAAATAGACGACGGGGCACCTGGGTGGCTCGGTTAAGCCTCCGACTTCGGCTCAGGTCACGATCTCATGGTTTGTGAGTTTGAGCCCCACGCCAGGCTCTGTGCTGACAGCTCAGAGCCTGGAGCCTGCTTCGGATTCTGTGTCTCCTTTTCTGTCTGCCCCTCCCTTGCTCATGCTCTGTCTCTCAACAGTAAATGTTAAAAAGAAAAGAAGAGGTGAGTACATAAATGGAAGAAAATATTCATAATACATGTGTCAAATTCATATCCAGAATATACAAAGAATTCAATGACCTAACAATTCTGTTCCTAGTAAAGACACCACATGAAGGCTTGTATGTGAATGTTCCTACCCAGTTTTATTCATAGTAGCCAAAAATTTGGGATAACCCAACAGTATTCATCATACAGCAAGTAATGGATAGCCAAATTGTGTTGTATTCATACAATGGAATAGTACTTCTCCACTAAAACAGAATAAGCCACTCATACAACATGAACGTATCCCAAAAACATGCTGGGCAAAGGCAGGGGCACGCACAGAAGAGCACATACTCTGTATGTTGATTTATAGGCAATACTAGGCAAGCGAAGATAATCTGTAGGGCAAGAAAGCAAATCACATGGTGCCTGAGGCTAGTGGTCCCTGTGTTGTGTGTGGGGACGGGGTTGGGGGATGATGACCACAATAGGATGTGAACTGTTTTAGGGTGATGGAGATGTTCTGTGTTTCCACTGGGGTGGCGGTACATAGGCATGGACACTTGTCAAAACTTACTTTTAAGTGTGCACGTAAAAATGGATAGACTTTAATCATAAATTGCACATCAATAAAGTTGATCTTTGTAACACCCAAAAAGAAGATCTTGGCAAATCAGGGCGCAAAGCCATCTTGCCACGCTCTGTGAAAGTTATATATTAAATCCCTCTAGCAAACCCTGTGCTTAATGGAAAAACATGTGCATTTCTGTGGAGTCAGGAACATGAAAGGGACATCTATAAGCACCGTGACAGTGTAATCTAGTTCCATTATAAGGAAAGAAAAAAAAAATATGTAAGATCAGAAGGGAAGAGATAAAACGGATTCTCTGTAGGTAATCTTATTTACTAGAAAAGCCAACAGAATTCCACAGGTAAGGGCTTTTAGAGCTATTGAGAGTTAAGCAGTTTTTCTAGTTAGAAGACCTATAAC